CCGACGAAGTTTATCCCGCACCAGTGAAGATTCCATTTAAGCCGATCGAAGTTCCTGAGTATGAAAACGCAATCAAGAGGTTGAACAAGTTTTTCATCGGGAAACGAAACGAACGTATAGAGTTGGAACTTTTCCGATCACTGAAGCAGACTAGCGATGAGCCATTTAACCAGTTCCTCCTCAAGCTTCGGGCACAAGCGGTGCGATGCGATTTCTACGACCGTGAAGAAAAAGAGATACTGCAGCAGATCACAATGGGCGCTCGGGACGAAAGAGTTCGAGGACATCATGGGTCTCGATGAGCTAATCAATTACGCCATCAATCGGGAGATTTTACTGAAGCAAAAAGGAAAGTCGAGGCCTTTCGGTGAGGAATTCCATCCACCACAGTAGCAGCGGTGAACCAGTAAGCGAGCAAGTGGAGAAACTAATGTGCTACGAGGAAATGAAAGATGGAAGGAAGAGCCGGATACGGAACAGTTGGCGAAGGTAGCGTATCGATAATACCACAAGGAATTTCTTGTTTTTTCTTTTATAATAGTTACGTTTGTGACGTTTTTCGATAAAGAAAATAAATGTCCCATATGGTCTGTAAATCTACTTGTTCGGTGCCTGTAAAACATATATTATTTCTTTTGCTTTAGGTTGATGCTGATACTCAAGATAATTGAACGATAGTATGTCTGATTGATAAACTACCTGTGGCTTTCTTGATTGATTCGTGTGCATCAATTAACACAATAACGGAAGAAGTCTGCGACCGTCTCGGTAAAAGTAATGCAACTCTTTTCAAGAGAAAATTCCAATGTGATCGGACATTCATAGCTTATGCAAGCCAAACCCCCCTGCAAGTACTAACGGTTTTCGAGGCATGGATTTCGGTGAACGATTCTAAACCAAGGTGCTATGCTGAGTTTTTTGTTATAGAAGGGGCCAACAAGTCCCTATTGAGCAAAACCACCGCGGAATACCTCAAAATACTTCAAGTAGGCCTCGGTGTTAACAATATTGAAGTCAGAATCGAACAATTTCCCAAGTTTCCCGAGGGGGACGACTCTATCTACAATGCAGAAAAAATTGTGTTATGCTGTGGCTAGCTGCGCGCACACTGAGTAGATAGAAAGTAGATTTTTGACGATTCTGAAGATTTCCTGCAAGAAGATGATGCGCGATGCAAGTCGAGGGGGACGACTCTATCTACGCTGCAGGAAATATTGTGTTTTGCTGTGGCTAGCTGCGCGTACGCTGAGTAGATAGAAAGAAGATTTATCACGATTTTGAAGATTTCCTACAAAAAGATGATGCGCGATGCAAGTAGATGCGAGAAATGAAAGAAGATTTTTCGAAAATTTATTCGCTAGTGTGAGATTTATTGAGCATCTAAATTTGAGATTTAGATGTGTCGCCCCCCTCGATGCAAGTAGATGCGACAAATGAAAGAAGATTTTTCGAAGATTGATTCGCTAGTGTGAGATTTGTTGAGCATCTTAACTTGAGATTTAGATGTGTCGCCCCCCTCGAAGTTTCCTAATGTTCAAGTCAAACTGTCAATTCAAGACCAACAATTGAAAAGGCCTTAACTCCATTTTGTAAACAATCCTTGTAATGCCATTTTCTCGCGAACTGAAACCTACATTCACAAACCTACCACACCATCCAGTAGAGGAGAATTTTCCCTACCTGTTCATTTTGTTGGTTTGCGTTGGCGGCATTTGGTTCGCGAGAAAATGGCCTTACAATGTTTGTTTACAAAATGGAGTTGAGGCCATTTTAATTGTTGGTCTTGAATTGACCAGTCTGTTGTATCACGAAAGCTTGCTTATTTGAGGGTACCTGAACCAAGGAAAGATAAAGTCGATCAGAAAATTTTGGAGATGTTACGCACTGATGTGATCGAGCCAGAGGATGGTCCAGCAGATTGGATCTCGCCGATGTTTGTTGTACCCAAGGGTAAGGACGACATTCGGCTCTGTATCAATATGAAACATCCGAACAAAGCAATTCAACGAGAACATTTCCCGCTACCGGTCATTGAAACGTTTTTTAACAAACTTAGGCTGTGAACCATTTGCCGAGTTAAATTTAACTCGTGGTTAAAAGTGACATTTCGAAAGTTATTTCTTATGTTCGAAAATCCCTGTGTTACCGATCGATCGGTTTTCGAGCAGAACTCAACCACGGTTGTCAAAATTTAACTTCTTGTCTGTCAGAAATAACCACGCTCGGTTAGCAGGGTTAATCGATAATTTTCCATCTGTCAAATTTTAACCAAAAGTTAAAATAATCCACCAAATGGTTCAGAGCCTTAGAGGTGCAACGCATTTTTCGAAACTCGATATAACGTCGCCATACCATCACGTAGAGCTTCACCCGGATTCTCGTAGTATTACAACGTTTATGACGGATCGGGGCCTTATGCGATTCAAAAGGTTGATGTTTGGGATCAACTGTGCTCCTGAGATCTTCCAACGAATCATGACGCAGATGCTGGCAGGAATTGATGGGGTAATTGTCTACATTGATGACATAGTCGTGTCTGGTAACACTCAAGAGGAGCATGACGAGAGATTGCAGCAGGTTCTAGCAGTTCTCAATGAGAACAACGCTCAACTTAACAACGAAAGATGTATATTTGATGTCACGGAACTAGAGATTCTAGATTTTAAGGTTAGCTCGAAGGGGATAAGGCCTTCGGATGAAAAGGTAAAAGCCATCAGGAATTTCAGAAAGCCTGAATCAAAAGAGGAAGTTAGGAGTTTCTTGGGTCTCGTTAATTTTGTTGGCCACTTCATACCGCATCTATCGACTAGAACTTGCGGGGAGATGTTTTGGTTATCGGTCAGGAACAAAACGACGCTTTCGATGATCTCCGGAAGGAATTATCAAACAACGTGCGGACATTAGGGTATTTTGATCCAAAACATGCTACAGAGCTATATGTTGAAGCGTCTCCTGTCGGCCTTGGGACAGTCCTCGTCCAGAGAGATCAAGACACTCAGAGAATTATCAGTTTTGCGTCAAAAGGATTAACGGCTACCGAGCGAGTGTATCCTCAGACCCAACGTGAGGCGTTGGCGGTGGTTTGGGCGGTCGAAAATTTTTATTTGTATTTGTGGAAGCGTTGGCGTCGGGAAGTTGGCCAGCAGTTCTTTTTCGCTACCAAGCATTTTCAATGGAGCTAGGAGTTACAAATGGAATAGTCGTTCAGGATGAAAGAATCGTTCTTCCAAATAAATTGGAGATCGCTCACAGGGGCCACCCGGGAGTAGTAACCATGCGAAGAACTTCGAGAGAATGTATGGTGGCCGTGTATGGATCGGGACGTGGTTGATAGAATTCAGGAGTGTTCTGGTTGTGCTGCTGTTAGAAATGAAAAACCACCAGAACCTATGCACAGGAAAGCCATGCCAGAACGTGCCTGGCAAGAGATCGTTATTGATTTCTTTTCAGCGAAAGAATGCGCAACGTTTTTAGTGGTCGTCGATTACTACCTACCCCATGTCCGGCCTATTAAGCACAACCCGCACTTAATCTTTCTTAATCTAGCGCAGTTTAGCACCAAACGGAATGTTATTATTACTGATGGCTTCCAAATTTATTTACCTAGATTTGAAAAAGAGAAACCAATCGTTGAGATATTGTCAAAAGTCTAACACTGCTTCTTGACGCCAAACTCGGCCTACGGATTCTTAGCTCGGCCTAACGCATTGAAACGCAATTGAAGCGCTAATGAATTCACTTCGGCCTATCGGATGAAGATAAAAATTGATTCGGTCGGAGCGGTTCTTGTGTTTTTGGGAATAATGGGTGCAAACCTACATACCACGCGTTCTCATTGACTTCGTTCGGTAGATTATTAACTAAAGGATCGTACCAAACGCATAATTGACTTGTTAACTCTGAAATCATGGATTTATTTTTAGTTTTCTGCTCGATAGGCCTGAAATGGGCGATTAGGCCGAAGTAGTTCTCTACCCTATTCGAGATTTTTTCAATAATGACGAAATAAGTCGTGCACGTCCCGGAAAAGGGATTATGTAGCAACTAGAAATCCTCAGAGGGAGAGATGAGCGCAAAGAATTTTTTCAGCCAAATGAACTGTCAAAATCTCAGCCAAACGAACATTTCCATTAGAAATATTCAGAGGATTTATTATTCTTACTAGATCAAATTAGAGAGTATTGTAACCGAATAGAAATTCAATCACCCTTATTTCTCGTGTGCTTTTCAAGTTCAACTAGTTTTTGGAATCAAACATAATATCCCAACTCTATTGATTGATTTTTGTCAAAAAAAAAAAAAAAAAACTGCAAAATATTGCGATGCACCTAGTAATTCACACAATTACAGGGCTGGTAGTTCGTATGTGACATAGAAGTAGTGACATTAGTGACTAAAATAACAAACATAGTGACCAAATATTGACTTTAAAAGAAAAAAAGTGACCAATAGAGCCATTTTATTGATTGAAAAGATATTGTTGTAGCTTGTCATACTTGGCCGATATCGTCACCCCCTCACTAAGCTAAACTACACGGCAAATAAGAACGACCCAAATTTGAGTTTAGTTCACTCATAATCGCCAAAAGTGCAGGAACTCAGCGATGAGTAAATTTGTCTCATGGAACCTGTGGAAAACCTAAAAAATCAGCCAGAAAATGAGGAAATTGGCGAAAATTTTATGCAGTCTCGGAGTAGTACCAATAGACTAAACGAATCCAATCTTTACTTATCGCAAATTCGGGAATTTTTCCCTGGAAAATGCTGGAAAAACCTGAGAAAACATGAGGCAAAATTACTCATCGCTGATTTCCTGCACTTTATGTGATTTATGAGTTGACTAAACTCAAATTTGGGTCGTTTTCATTCACCGTGTTGCAATATGGCCTGCCATATGCCTTCAGCTGAGCACCACTGACTGCCTTAGCAAGTTAATTGATGAAAAAACAGGTTCTCAATCGGATCTCAAACATGATTGCCTACTCCATAGCGATACTTACTCGTAGTACCGCTTGGACACGTGGGCCACTATCTCCCCAATGCGGTCTTCCTTCAGAGCATGGTGTTCTCCCTGCAGCGCTATCACCAGGTCATTGTTGTGATGCGAATGAAATACTACCAGCTGATCACGGCCGGGGCTCACACTGATGGACGAAATCTGCAAATAGCAAAGAAACCACCGTTCGCCCAAACTCTTCCCTGGTAATTATGAGCACGCAAAACTCACCTCCTTGATGGCAACGGTGCGCTTCATGTTGCGGAATTTATTCTTCGGGCCGTCCAGTTTGTAGATGGCTACGTCGGTCACGATAATCGCTCGGTCTGCCGATTTGTTGCATTTGTTGAATTTTTTGACGAAAGACGAAAATAGCACCACCCGGAAGTTGTCCGTGTTCTTAATGTTATTAATACTGGCATTGTACGATGAATAGTTGGAGTTTTCCGCCGTGTTGGAGAGATAATTTCCCAACCAGCGGCGATCGTGGCCCCAGAACTTGCGCCGCTTGCGGAGCGCACTCGCTGCGATGATCTGCAGCCGTAGTTGGGGCCACTCATCCCTTGGGTACTTTCGCAGGATCATTGACGCTCGCCAGCGAGAGAACAACATCCGCAATTGTTTCTCCGCTTCGCGACCCACGAGCGGAGGCTGTGGCCATTGGATACCTTTGCCGTAGTCTCGCATCTGGCGAGCATTACGGAAGCGCATGGCTAGGTCCTGGACGTAGCTCTTCAGTTTATACTTGCGATAATGACGCATAATGATGAGAGCGGCCTTTATCTTCTTGTACTGCTGCCGGCAAATCCAGCCACGGACCTGCTTTTGCAGTAAGGTCACAATGTGCGGTATCATCTCGTTGCGTTGCTTCTCCAGCGAAAACAGTGTTTGCGGGGAGCGGATGAAGATTTTCGTCTTACCGAACTTGACGTCGTGGCTAAAGTTCTTCTCGTTGATCAGCACCTTAACGCCATCCCTGTCCGAACCTCCGCGGAAGTTTGGCCACGTGTACTGAGAAATCATCTTGTATCGCAGTAGGAATTTATCGTACCGTTGTCGATGGACGAAACCTGCTCTACGGACCCGAACGTTCTCCAGCAAACCCAGGTAGCGCACCTGATGTTCTACACGAACGTCATCGAAAATGGAGGCGCTCTTGATGTCGTTCGGTTTGATACACCGAACGTAGAAAGGTTCCTTCTTCAACAGAGTTGCTACCAGTTCTGCCATCGATCGCTGGAACAATGTTCCTGCCGTCAGGGGTCTCTTGGTAGTTTTCGATATGTCCTGTGCTCCCTCAGGCCACATGGAACTCATCAAGCGATCATTCGAGTGGAAGAGCAGACGTTTGAAATCCTGGAATAGGGTGTCCCGATTCTTCTCAATAAATCCGTTGACGCAGTAGATGACGTCCCCGGCATAGTGCGTGATACGGAAGTCTTCGCGATGCTTCAACTCCTTGTCCATCGGTTTCAGCTGTCGGCTACTGTAGTGTGGATGATGCGATAGCTTCTTATCCATTGCGTCCAGTAGCATCTCGTCAGTGATTTTCCCAACATTTAGACAAGCCTCGTCCATTATCGATATCACACCCTTGTGAGGCTGTTCGACGAGTTCGCAGATGATCTGAAATAAAATAAATATTCTCCGTTATTCGTGCCTCTTCATGCGAGACTTCGAACCATACCTGGTTATTGAAGTATTCCACATTAGTCCACTCGATCCCCTCTCGACGGTACTCCTCCTGTTCCTGCTTCAGAACCAGCTCGATAAACAACTGCTGCAGTTTCTCGTTGCAATAGTTGATACAGAACTGTTCGAAGCTGTTCTGGTCGAAAATCTCGAACCCATAGATGTCCAGCACCCCGATGACCCGGTTGTGCCGTTTCTGGGTGTTTCCACCGGGCACCACTATGGCCTTGTTGATTCGTTGAATGATCCACGTAAACAGCCGATCGTAAACGGCTTTGGCCAAGGCATCCCGCCCAAACTCGGCCTGCTCGATGTCGTGGGTTTTCGTCATGATCTCACCTCGGGCCGCAATCACTCGTTCCGTGAGTGAGCGCTGCATTTCTTCTTCGGTTACGTGCAGTAGCTGCGCTGCCGTGGTCAGCGGTTTACGGGTAGCAACTTGGACCTGCTCTTCTTGTGCTGTAATGGACCGGTGTTGAAATAGAAAACAAAACAGAAATGAACTTTTTGTAGATATGTGCGGAAAAAAAAAACACCTACTTTTAAATCTGATATTGCCCAGATGGAGCACGGCGGCCACGATTCGCCATACCATCGTAAGTTCATCGCCGCTGAAGCCGAGTGCCTTAAGGCCAGCGGTCGTGGCCCGATAGTCGCCCTTCTCCGACAGAACCTCTACGCTGCCTTGGTTGGTGTAGTGATACTGAGCCGGGTCTCTCGTAAGGTGGAATTGCTTCAGTTCCGCATCGGATGCACCGCGTAGCAACTGGAATAAACGGAAAATCAAATTACTCGTTAATTATATGGGTAACGTTCACACCTGGTAATCGGTAAAATAAAAAGATTTTTTTTTGTTGAGACTATAACTCGAATTCATGTTTTGTTTATTGGAAGTTTTCGAAACATACACTTAAATTAATAAAATTTAACTTTAGTTTTTACAGAGTGGCCACTAAATTTACGAAATTCGTCGGTTTTTTCTCGGATCCCGGTTGCCTTAACTATTTTCGAAGACAACATATTTCGCTATTTTCCTTGTTTCATATAAACAGCTCAATATGGTAAAAAAGCAATACCGGCATGGTTGATTTCAGCAATTTATGTCACTGGCAAACATGTGTCATGCAGTTTATTATAAAAACAGAAAACTGGAGGAAAACCCAAATAAATTTTCTAGCGGCACTGGTGATTACCACTCACCCCAGCAGGCATGGGTTCAATCCCATTCAATCCTTCGGAAGGGAAGTAAAGCTGTTGGTCTCCGGTTCATGAGTTGATGGGTCGATAGGTAGGGTCCCGGTGTGGGAGCTGCCTTCCTGGCGTCGGTAGCATTGGTGCTCAGCACGGAAAACAAGATCGACGGAAAACAGATCAAGGAAAAAAAAAACAGTATGTCATAAATTGCTTTACGCAAGATTTCAATACCGCCTTGTGTATTCTTGTTCAACTGTAAGAAAAGCATCACATATTTTATAAAATTACTTGGTTTCCAGTCACAGTTCGTGACAGCAGCCGTCTGGCTGCATTTGACGTTCCACTTTTCTCTCTTCGCTAGTCTCACTCAGTTTTTTAAGTACACGGCGAATGAGAACGACCCAAATTTGAGTTTAGTTCACTCATAATCGCCAAAAGTGCAGGAACGCAGCGATGAGTTAAATTTGTCTCATGGTTTCCTGCACTCAAAAAATTTCACACGTTTGATCGAAGTGTTTAAACACTTGATTTTTTAAATGCAGAATCACATTTACTTTAAGTGTATTTCACCTTGGTTCAATGTGTTATACACGTTAATTTATAGTGTTTCAAACTTCGAAATGTTGAAATTTTTTCACTATCTATTCAAGTGTATTGCACATTGAATCACGCTACTGTTCAAAACAGATGGATTTAAAGTGTTTTGCATTTCAATACGATGTGAATTGCTTGCTCAGAAAGGTAAACATCGAAAACAAGAGTTGTGACTTTTTCCTATCAACCCGCCTCATATATGAGAACAACCGTGGCCCAGTGAGATCGAACGAAGACTCTGGCAGCAGCACACCCCAACAGTTCATGATCGAATCCAAAATCAGACCCATTAAAAAGATATGTGATAGCTCTGGCCTCTGGCAGTTTTGTTTATATATTTGTCGATTCATTTTTAGAGTTGGTAAAGTAGAAGCCGATAAAGTAGAATATTGTAGAATATTGAACTATGGTGTACAAAGCTATTGATATCACCATATGAGGCACATAGAATCCAAGTGTGTCACAATTCAAATCCATAGTGTTCAGGCATGGTTCATAGCATAAGATTCACACATGAAATGGATGTGTTTCACAATAAGCGCAAAATTAAGTGTGAGACACATGATGATGGCGTGTGGAATTTTTTGAGTGTGTGGAAAACCTAAAAAATCTGCCGGAAAATGAGGAAATTGACGAAAATTTTATTCAGTCTCGGAGTAGTACACACTTAATCTAGCTCGGTAAAATCTCCAACAGCCGATTACCTCGGCATTTGCTTTTGCTGATATCTCTGCAAAATATCTGTTTGTTAGCTGATATCTCAGCAAAATGTTATTTGTTAGCTGAGTATCGGCAATTGTTTTACTGAATCTCAGCAAAATAAATTACAGAATCACTCGGCTGTTGGAATCTCGGCGAAAAAAATTAAGTGTGTACCAATAGACAGAGTGAATCCAATATTTACTTTTCTCAAATTCGGGATTTTTTCCCTGGAAAAACCTGGGAAAACATGAGGAAAATTTACTCATCGCTGAGTTCCTGCACTTTTGGCGATTATGAGTGAACTAAACTCAAATTTGAGTCGTTCTCATTCGCCGTGTAGTTGTGATATCGCGATGCCTTTTTGGTTCTTCTTCTTCTTCTTCATTTGTATATATGGATGTAGAATTTTAGTGTTCGTGAGATTGCGCTTGGAGATCTCTATATAGCTTTTCGACGTTTAATCGGCACACACTACACACCAAATTTAAGTTTTCAATATCAGTAAAACGGATTGCTGGATCATGACCAGCAATCCAATGCTTCACTGAAAAACAGCAAACGATATTTTTACTGAAAACATCAGCTAACATAAACTAACACCCAGTAAAAGAGCTGTCAAACTGTTAGCATCACAGTCGCAAGTATTTTTGCATTCGTACACCACCACTCGGATTGAACCCACGCCTGCTGGGGTGAGAGGTAATCACTCTTACCACTACACCACCGGCGCCGCTGACAAACTGTTGTTTCCAGTTATTTAATTCAATGGGACACCATTTCTTTTTAATTCATTCAAAATACACACAAATCAATATTGAAAAATACCATTAACCAAGGTTTTGACAAAACATCTAATGGCATAATAAAAAACCAAACAGAAAAGTACAGTTTCTCACTGCATACTGAACAATCTCAAACAATCACTACACGCTCAAAGCAAAACATATTATTTTGCTACGCCTGTTTTGATTTGATTTCAATGGCACATCATGACAAGAACAATAAGTCGACAGTGAGCATGCATAAGGGCCTATACGCGATGATCGATTCTCTTCGTCGTTTTTCTCTTTTGTTAATAACTCGCTAGATTTAACGTTTCTCGGTGCGTTTGCTGTTGCTTTTGATAGCCAATACAACCTGTTACTACTCTGCATTGAACAAATTCTAGAAAATTGTTTCGCTTAGCTGTAGCAATGCAAAGAGAAAATCGATCATCGCGTATTCGCCCTTTTGCATGCTCACTGTCGAAATATACAATGAATTCCGCGTGTGCCATCTGCTTCTCCTTCACTGAACCAATATGACATATTCCTGTTAAGTGGAAGTCTAATAAATTTGCGCTATAAGCTAATCCATTGAAAATGATATGATTGAGAATGTGACAGGTAAATTTATTTATTTATTTATTTATTTATTTGTAGTTTGTTACAGTCAACAGGTTAAAATACCCAAATGACAATTAAAACTTAGAACTATCGCACTATTGCTACTGTGACATAAATCTCAAGAAATTCTGCCTATTGGACGCACGTGAAAAACTAAAGTCAAATACATGTTGACAATGATTGAACACACGGCACATGCTACGAACTGGCTCATTCAAACCATAATTTGTCCTGGAAGTATCGATGAACAAAAAGGCGTGTGTACGTAGCTAACGTCTCCTAATGTTTATGTTTAGCTGTGTAAGTAGCGAAGGGCAGTCGATGAGAGACGTTAACAGATCACTGACAAAGCAAGCTTTTGCAACATCACGTCTAACACTGAGTAGGTCCAGATGAATGAGTTTGCAACGACTCTCGTAACTAGGAAGATCCAGACGGTCAGTCCAGGGAAGGTGTCGTAGAGCATAACGGATGAATTTCCGTTGAATCTTCTCAACGCGTTGAATTCCATTTTGGTAGTATGGACTCCAAACAACGGAGGAGTATTCAAGTATGGGTCGCACCAAGCTGCAGTACAAGGCCTTTAAGCAGTATACATCTTTGAAGTGCTTGGCAAAGCGAAATATGAAGCCTAGCTGGGAAGATGCTTTCGAGATGATGTATGTCAGATGAGCGTTAAACGTTAGCTTCGAGTCCAAAAGCACTCCCAGGTCTTTAACCAAGGATTCTCGTGCTAGAGACACTCCGGACAAGCTGTAGTTATGGATGAGCGGTGAACGTTTGCGAGTGAAGGAAATCACTGAGCACTTGGATGTGTTTAATACCATACGATTTCTTCTGCACCAATCAGCAAACGTTTCGAACTGATGTTGTAAGAACTCGGCATCGTCTAGTTTCTCGATGATCGCATAAATCTTGAAGTCGTCTGCATAGGATTTCTTGTGACACCTTAGAACTGAGTTGACGTCGTTCATAAACAACAAAAACAGAAATGGCCCCAGATGACTTCCTTGCGGTACACCGGATGTAACAGGAAACGAAGTTGAAAACTGGTTGCCGAGCCGTACACGCATGTTACGCCCCATCAGATATGAACGTAGCCATTTGAGTAGCCTAGCATCAGCGCCTAATTTATCATACTTGGCCAGAGCGATTTCGTGGTTCATCTTGTCAAAAGCTGCTGACAAATCCATGTAGATTGCGTCAATTTGGCAGCCACGCTCTATCGAGCGAGCAAGAAATGAAGTGAACGTGGTTAAGTTTGTGGTAGTAGAGCGCTTGGGCATAAAGCCGTGTTGATCTTCCGAGATGTAGTGCGAGCAGCCGTGTGAAAGGAAGTCCAGAACAATCAGCTCGAAGAGTTTTGAGGTTGCACATAGAGCGGCTATGCCACGGTAGTTTGAAACTGTTTGCTTACAACTTTTCTTATGTACAGGAAACACGTACGATTCCTTCCAAATAGTCGGGAACACGCCTGATTCCAATGAGAGGTTGAACACAGTAGCGAGAGGTGCTGAAAGAGAGTGGATGCATTTATTCAGCACTATAGACGGGATACCGTCTGGGCCGACTCCGGTAGTATTTTTCAATCGTCTGCTAGCGGAAAGCACCGTGTCACTTGATATCGGAGGAAGTTCACCAAGCGGAGGAAGTACAGGCACATTACTCACGGCATCAACAATATCCTGCGGGCTAGTTGGGTCATTGCAAAAAACTCCGCTAAATTGTTTCCTAAACAAGTCAGCGATGTCGTCAAGGGCAGAAGCTTCTGTGTCACCATTACGCATAGTGGAGGGAAGTCCCACTTCTTTCCGCTGGCCATCTACGTATTTCCAAAAGCTTTTAGGATTGAGTTTGAGACTTCGCTGCAACCTCTCTTGATAAGAATTGA